TCTGAACAAGTTTGGGTACAAAACCTAACGCGCTGATGCTGGAGCTAAACGGCCCAGCTTCCTCAGCACAAAGGTGGCTCAAACTCCTGTAGTTCTGGAGCCTGGCTACTAGAGGGGAACAGAGCCAGAAGGCACATGGGTCCCTAGAGGCACAATGGCCTCTAGAGGGCTGGATCAGAGACTGGCAATTTCACCATGATGACTCATTCTGCCCAGACTGAGGGTGTGAGCTGGCAGTTCTCTCCGCCTAGCTCTGCCTCAGTTTGTTCATGCTTAGAATGGGGATAAACCCAAGTCTCCGACCTTTCGGGCTTGTTGCTAGTTGTAATTAGCTAATGTGGGCATATTGCTTCGAGCGCCTCCCCTTGCAAGATGCGACTTTGTTATGAGGCAGCCTCCAGCAGGAGGAAGCCGTGTGGTTGTGGCTAGGGTGCTGGGCTGGAGCCATATTCGCAGCTCTGCCACTGGCTTGCTTGGAGACCTTGGGCAGGTTACTTCACCTCTGTATGCCTCAGTTTCTCAGTCGAAAGGGGAGAATTGTGCTTGTAAAGTGCTTTGCCGGCTATGGATGACAAATGCTAAGATTTAGGAGGCAGCCCAGCCTGTGGAGAGTGTGAGGCCGGTAATGGTCCCCAACACACTGGTGGTCTTGGAGTTGTGTTGCTTGGGCATGCAGGCCAAATCATGACCTCTTGAAGGCTCTTCCAACCCTAGGATTCTGTCAAGTCCAGCTCCCTACCCAAAGCAGGACCAATCCCAACGAAACCATCCCAGCCAGGGCTTTGTCAAGCTGGGATTCTGGGGATGGAGATTCCACCACCTCCCTAGGGAACCCATCCCAGTGCTTCCCCACCCTCCTAGGGAAATAGTTTTTCTTAATATCCACCTTAGACCTCCCCCACGGCAGTTTGAGACCATTGCTCCTCATTCTGTGATCTGTCACCACTGTGAACAGCTTCGCTCCATCCTCTTTTTGGAACCTCCCTTCAGGTAGTTGAAGGCTGCTCTCAAATCCCCCCTCACTCTTCTCTTCTGTAGACTAAATAAGCCCAAATCCCCCAGCCTCTCTTAGTAGGTAGAGGGTGGTAAACTCCATTGAAAGTGGTTTCACAACTGGAAGAGGTTTTTGCAACACAATTCAGCCCGTCCCTTTGCTAAACCTTTGTCATTCCCACTTACTGATCTTTTTACATAGCCTCGGCCCATTCTTTTAATTTCTTCTTCTGTGATTGCAGCCTGGGGCAGTGAGTTAAATGCGCACCAAAGACACACAAGCATTTCATTAGAGACAATCTGTTTAATAAATATGACTGTAAAAGCAATAAACAAGAGCAATTATACAGAACACTACATATAGTCTTTAACCAAGAAAAAATACATCAAAAAAGTCATTTAAAATGAGCAGTTCCAGTACTATAAGAAAACTTTTTTAAGTGGCTCACTATAAAAATAAGTTGGCTAATGCCAGAGTTCACGGGTCAGTTAGGCTCCTGGGGGATATTATACAGTGGCTGCAAAAAAACGTCCCCCTCTTTCTTAAAGCTAGAGATGCAAACACAAGAGCAAGTGGTGTCAATGCCTGGGAGAAATGGTGGCACTCCACCCAAAGGGGAGGGTTTCTCAGGACAGTGACCTAGAGAGTGGGGGGTGGAACTGATCTTTTCCTGTTGGCATCACCTTTATTTCAGAACTGGGCTAAACCCTGATTTGTAGAGAAGCAATGCAAGCCAGCTCTTGGGATGCTCACTACCCCATCCATTTTCATGTCGTGTTGTCTTTGGGCCATCTACAGTATGGACTTTGCCCACCAGCTTTCTGAGATGCCCTTTGCGGTCACCCAGCTTACTGAAGGAGCCTTGAAGTGACTGCCCGGGAAGGAGATTATACAAGGGAGCTAGCCCAGTGGCTCAGTGTGGCGGCATTCAGCCATCATCCAGGATTTCAGCTGGAAAGAGCAGTTTAGTGACGTGGTCACTCAGGGTATGTCTAGACAACAGACTTTTGTTGACAGAAACATTGTCGACAGATACTGTCAACAAAGCCTCTGTTGACAAAGAGCGCCTAGACTACAGCCAGTTCTGTCGACAAAGCAAGCCGTTTTTCCGACAGAGAGTCTAGATGCTCTCTTTTGAAAAAGCATAGTGTGGCTGCCATAGCGCCTTTTGTCGATAGAATTCTGTCAACAAAAGGCATTATTCCTCGTAGAGTGAGGTTTACCGCCCTCGACAAAACTTCCACGTTCTGTGGACTTCACTCAGCAGTAGTGTAGATGCAGGTATCGTTTTGTTGACAAAAGTCCACTATTGTCAACAAAACACCGTCATCTAGACGCACCCTCAGTGAGCTGGAACCAGAGGTAGGCCCAAAGCCAGTCCTCATGTACTTCCATGCAACCCACATGTCACCCAGCTCAGCGAGGCAGTGTTGTGCCGAAGAAAATGCACCCAGAATGCTGCGTAATACTCAGCACGTCAGACCCTGAACACCTCAGGGAGCCGGCAGTCCTCAACAGGAGCAGCTCCTGCAGCCACGACTGCGTGTTTGCTTGGTCAGAGCTGCCCAGTAGTGCTGAGGTGGTGTTGGCTGAGGTCCTCTTAGAATTCAGCTAGATGAGGAGTCCAAGGAGGCTGTGATCCTAGATTAGCTAACATGCTTTTAAAGCTCAATGAAGACAGCAAATTGACTTTAGTCCACATGGAGGCCTTAGCTCTGGTCTATGGTAGAGCTTTATTTTGAAAAAAAAAAAACCTTACGCCGAATTAATAAATGGAGCATCCACACTACCAAGCCTGTTATTTTGAAATAACGAGCTGCTTAATTCGAAATCTCCTGCGTTCCTCGAGGAATAACTTTATTTTTGAAGTAGTTATTTTGAAATAGTGGTCGTGTGGATGCTCCAGTGCCACTATTTCAAAATAACTACTCTCCAGAGTCATTTGAACTAATTTACTCCCCAGTATTTTCTGGGGCTCTAAGGTGAGGTAGCCCATCCACAATAATGAAGACTGTCTCGGACTAATTTTAAGGCTTTCCCGTAGTGTGGACATGCTAGTTTGATTTTGTTATTTTGGGATTTATTTCAAAATAGTTTCCTAGTATAGACATGCCCTAAGAGGGGTAGCTCTACAACTCTATAAGGGTGCGTCTACACAGCTTCCTAAACTTGAAATAAGATATGCCAATTGCATATCTTATTTCCAATCGATTTTTAACTTTTGAAATTTGGCACATCTACCCAGCACCACAGTTTGAAATGGCGGGCTATTTTGAGACATCCCTTAACCCTCATGGAACAAGGGTTACCAGGATGCTGAAACAGCATGTCCGTTATTTCAAAAACAATTATGAAATAACATGCGGCTTGTGTAGCCGCAGGGTAGCTATTTCTGATCCCTCCCGTATCCCGAAATAACTGTGCAGTATAGACATACCCGAAGAGATATAAATGCTTTGATGAAAGAGATAGGTCAGAAAGTCTGACTCCTGCATGAGCTCTACCTGTGCTTGAATTTTGCTCTTATGTCTGCTGTACATACCTTCTCTTCCCTCCACTCCCCAGCTGCTCTGAGGACAGCTGGAAAGCAGCACCATTCCCTTGAATTATCTTCATTTTAGCAGACTTTGAAACCTCCCCCCTCCCTGCATGGTTCTGTTATTGCGGCGGCCTCTGCCAGGAAACTCTAGAGCTGGGGATTCACAGGCTAGACCCTAAAAGCCCCTGTTGGGTGTAGTGAGCGGACATACCAGGGCTCATTGACCATTAGCAGGCTAGTGGAAATTCTTCATGGGGTGTTAACAGCTTGGTAGCATAACCTTGCTCTTGCTACATGTTGTAGAGCAAGGGACTGCCCCCATGCATTGGAAAAGGAAAGCTCCACTCTAGACGTGGATCTTTCGGAAAATAAAGCCTTTTCCGAAAGATACCTTATTTTAAGAGGGACAAGGGATCTTTCAGAAAAGGCTTTATTTTCCGAAAGATCCACGTCTAGAGTGGAGCTTTTTTCCAGCAAAGCTCCGAGCCGAAAAAAAGCGGCAGACATTTTTATGCTAATGAAGCAGAGGAGATTTAAATCCCCGCTTCATTAGCAATTGTGATACATCTAATTTGAAGGGATGCAATCTAGATGTAGCCTGGGAGTGCTGTGTATGGAGAGGAAAGGCTGGTAGGCCCACACTCGGCCATAGCGCGACCCCCACAGGTAACAACGGGGTCAAGGCTGGGATCCTGGGCTATGCGACAGAGCCAAACCTTGCTCCAGAAGCAGGGACTGCATGCTGCTGAAGGACAAAGAGTGTGTATGTGCAGCATCTGTGTGTGTGTGCATCTGAATCCACGTTGGCCATGCCTGTTCTTGTGCAGCAATTTAGACCATGCAAAGTGGCCATGAAACGACCATCAGGCAGCCTCGTATCCCTACTGCAAACTGGTCTAAATGCTGCCACAGGGCAGGACTGTGGAGAATGAAGTCCAGAATGGATAGAGAGAGGCCAAAGCATGAAGGACAATGGACAGCAAGAGTTCATCCCAAATCATGCCATGTTTCTAAGGGTATGTCTACACTACCACCCTAGTTCAAACTAGGGTGGTTAATGTAGGCAACCGAAGTTGCAAATGAAGCCCGGGATTTGAATTTCCCGGGCTTCATTTGCATCTTGCCGGGCTCCGCCATTTTTAAATCCCGGATAGTTCGGACTCCGTGCCTGCGGCTACAACCGGCCGGTTGGCTCCGACTCCGTGCCCGCGGCTACACGCGGCATGGACTAGGTAGTTCGGATTAGGCTTCCTATTCCTGTTCCACGAGGAGTACAGGTAGTTCAGAATAGGAAGCCTAATCCAAACTACCTAGTCCGTGCCGCGTGTAGCCGCGGGCACGGAGTCCGAACTAGCCAGGATTTTAAAATGGCGGCGCCCGGCAAGATGCAAATGAAGCCCGGGAAATTCAAATCCCAGGCTTCATTTGCAACTTCGGTTGCCTACATTAACCACCCTAGTTCGAACTAGGGTGGTAGTGTAGACATACCCTAAGGCTTGGGCTGTGGCAGGGGAGGGGGTCTGCCTCTGCCTCCTGCCACTTGGGGCAGGTGCCTTGGTGTGAATGGGCTGACCCGTCTTTCGCAATCCCCTGACTTTGCAGCTTCGGGGGAACCTGTGCTGATTCCTGGCTGTGCTCCTGGGTGCCACAAGCCGTCCCACAGTCAGACGGAAACAGTGAAAGGCCAAAGGAAGACAAAAAGCATACCAGCCCAGACACACTGCCATGTCGATGCCTGTGTATCGTGGGGTGCCTCAGGACCATTTGCCGAGGGTAGCTCTGCTGTAGTGCTAAAAAAACAGTTCAATCTGCAGCCAAATACTGTTATCCCTCCCACCCCATCGCCCTCAAAAAGACCCCATGCACATTGCTGGCCACGATCATCATGAATTTCCTACAAATAAGAGCTTGATCAGAAAAGAGAGGGAAGTGAACTGTGGAAGAGGGGGAAGGTGATTTCATTTGCCCCCTATTAAAAGAGAGCCCCTGTACACTGTACACTGCAAGTCCAACCACGGTCTGGGTATAATCTCCACATGCACAGGATTAAAGCTAAAAACCTTTTTGTCGTCTGAAGAATTACAAAGTCCGAATGCAGTGAGTTTTTCTTTGTATGTATATATATATATATATATCTATAGCTATGTACACAAGTCCTGGTGTCCTTGGTTCAAACATTTACATAGGTAGGGATGTCTTTTGTGCTTCGAGGCTCAGCAGCTATGGAAATACTTCCTGCGGCAAAGAAAAAAACAAGACAAAAGCAACCGTTAGCTGACCGAGCATTTCTCAAGAACGGAAGATGTTACGACGTCTCTCTGTTTGGTGTTAGGACTGGATTGATCCAGCCTGATACATTCTTTCCAGAAACGTTCTCCTGCCACTTAGCAGGTTGAATGGGATGGCTTGTTCTTCTTTTTGACCAAGAGGGTTCACCCATACTCAAGAGAAGGGAAGAAAGGATGGGGTGATGTGTGCTTCTATGGCATCTGCTCTGGAAAGGTGCCGGCGACTTTGGTAGCCCACTGTCCAATTTGCCTTTGCAAAAGAAGGGTTTGCTGCCCCACCTCCCCCAGCCTCTGGATTTCCGAAAGGCACGGAGCACAAAGGTTAGTCTCCATGGGCAAGTGGGAGGGAGGGGGGAACTGTTTCAACACAAACCCAATACAAATGAGAAACAGCCCATTACGTCTCTGTTACGCGTCTAACCTCTGTCGGCCAAGAGGGGGTGGATCACTTAGTGATGACCTGTCCCGTTCTCTGGGCTAGATGGACCTTGGGCCTGACCCAGTGTGGCCATTCTTATGTCCAGTGCATTGTTTCCTCAAAAGAACCGGGCCCCCCTCAAAAAACAATGCTGATCTCCAGAAAGACCCAGGGCTATTGCATGGGACTCACAAGGGAGAGAATGAGATTAACAAAAGGCGATACCTTACATTATGCACCTCGGTACTTATTTCCCCAAAGCCAGCACACTCAGCCTCCCAAGCTAGCCAATAGGAAATGCTGAGGAAAGGGGTGTGTCCCAAACCTGCCCTTCAAGGGCACTTGCATATCTAATTCATGGCCATGACCAATCTCAGCTGTGAATGTGTTCCTGCAGTGAGGCGCCTATGGCAGATTAGTCCTTTTTTAAGAAAAACCAAGGAGGTCATGCCCCCCCCCCCCATATGAGCTCTAGACCGTGATTAGTGCACCCTTCCTCAGGTACGGGAGAGCCAGTTTCAATTCCCCCTCCCCTCACTGCTTCCTGATGTGCACCAGAGGTCTCCCACCTCCCTGCAGAGAGCCCTTCCCCCGGGCGACACGGCCTTGTGAACCAAGGGGCTCCTGGTGGTGCCTGTCA